GAACAGCCAGATTGGGAAATAGCTTTGTCCCCCCAGGCTATTGGATTCCTGAATGTTTAATAAGTAAATGCCAATGTGTATAGAATGTATATTTTATAGTAATTATGATATCTTGATTGTACTTTTAGTGTCTGATTGTAATTGTGAGCCAACTGCAATGGAATTTCGTTTTATTATGCACTTGGTGTATAGTGTATAGTGGAATGACAATAAAGTTATTATTCTATTCTATTCTATATTTTGTTCTCTATTCCCCATTGTGTGCTTGCTTACTCTCTTGTAATCCCTTCTCTCCCATCTCTCTGCTCTCTGGGGGTTGGGGGGTGGGTTGAGAAAACAAATCAGGAGAGTTTGTCTACAGAAATCACTTGTTTTTCTTCTTTTCCCCCATTTACAGAGCAGAGTAATTGGAGAGGAAGGGATTACAAGAGAGTAAGGAGGCACACAATGGGGAATACACCAGGCTGTTTGAGTTGCCAGCGCCAATGGATTGCTTTCAATGTGTATTCCCCATTGTGTGCCTGCTTGCTCTCTTGTAATTCATTCCTCTCCAGTGAATGCAAATGCAAACATTAATTCCCTTCTTGCTAATTATCTCAGTACCCCAGTGACCATTCCAAAGGGCAGAAGAGTGGGGAAAAGAAAAGCACAGTCATGGTCACATGATTTCCCACTTAGCAACTGTTTTACTTAATGACAGAACTACTGGTCCCAACTGTGGTTGCTAAATAGGGACTACCTGTACTGTGTTACCTAAGAACCTAAAATAATGTATTCTTTTTTAGATTCCACATAATTGGCAAAACAGATTATGTAATATTTAAAAATATCAGTTGCTTTTGAGAACATACTCTAATGGAATATATAGTTCACACACTCAGAAAACACTATGCTGGTGTTTCTAAGGAAGAGTGTTTATAATATGGAGCAGCTATTGCTTATATATAACAGATACAATTAAGGAACCTTAAATCTTCACAGAAGTAATAAATAACAATCAAACCACAATTTTAAGTATTATGCCTGCTAAAAGAATACAAAAATTAAGGTGTAAAATTGAATAGCACCAATAACTAGGTAAAACCTTCCTTCTAAAATTTGATAATAGGATAACTTAGCAAAGTATTATTGATAGAGTATTACACAATCAAGGTATCGTAATGGAAAAGACACTACTGTGAACGTTACCCAACCAAATTATCTAGAGGTTGTTGAACAAGTTTCCTTTTGTTTACTTGTTGACCAAGAATTTCTTAGGAACTAGTTAGTTGGGTTAAGTGGGAAAACTTTGAAAAAGATGTTCTAAGGTTTGTATCTTGCGAGATCTTGTCAGAAAACCTGGTAAAACTGTTGGCGAGATTTGCCTGGGGATTGCTTAGATTGCTAAACAGTTAAAATTTATTTTCTGAACTTTTGAAATGCCTAAACAACATGACTTGCTAACCTTGTACTTCTATTTTAAACCATCAAGAGGTTTGCTAGTCATGGTATAACAAGGTTAATCAATAAATATATGTTGTGAAAGGGTACGTTATTTGTAACATATACCGTATTCGCAGATGTGTATAAGGCAGTATGTACATATTGTATTGGTTTAAATTACATCTTTCCTTTGGCTTATCTTACTATAGTTTATTCCCTGAAGGACTGTTATTTCAGCTGGATTCATTAAAAGGATGGGGAGCTGGTCTCATACACTCTTCTTTCCCTTTCCATCTAGTCATACAAGAAATCAGTTGCAGAACTGAGGGTGGGACCTTTGGATGGGCCATGATAAAAAGGAGCAGATAAGCCCAAGGCCCAGTCTGAGGGGTAAACAACAACTAAATGGGATTTAAGAATAAGAATATTTGAACTGTTTGTTACAGATGTTATATTAGATTTTGTTTTGATTTTTAGCAAAGTATTTGTTGGTAGTATGAAACCACTAGAACGGAGCTGCTCTAGAGACCAAAAAAATCTTGTTTATTTAAAGAATCCTACTTGTTCAGACAGGCAGAATTTTGTTAAATGTTTGTGCTTTGCAGCTGGAGTGTTAATCATTCTAAATAATGATTTAATCTTGCAGGTGTGTTAACTATGTTATTTACAATATCTTTAGAAAGTAATTTGATTCTAAGTGAATAACATGATTTAGTTTTAATTTTTGTGTATACTGTTTTTAAATGGCATTGGCCCTTGTTAACACATATCTTTTCCATTGCTTTTAACACATATCTTTCCTCCCTTGTTAACACATATCTTTCCCACCCATTTTTACTAGCTCCAAACACAAAGGATTTAGATGTTTTCCTTCGAAAGCAAGAATCTGGGTTTGGTTTCCGGGTTCTTGGAGGAGATGGTCCTGATCAGTCAGTAAGTCAAGTATTTATTACTTTATATTGGAATTGATTGATTATGTGCCATCAAGTCAGTGTCCTGTCTTAGCAGCTGCATAGATAGGTCTTCTCCAGAATGATTTGTTCACAACCTGATTCTTCAGGTGATGCATCTTATATTCCATGTTTCCATTATAATTTTGTTTTTGCAGCTTCAGACTTTCTTTTCCTGCATGGGAACATCAGCAACTAGATATCCTGAAGACTTTAATCTAGCTCCATCATAAACACCATTAATACTCCAAGAGATCCTCACCTTTCCTCAGTAGCATGTTGAGTGCCATCCAGTCTTATCTGGCACTATATTATCAGTCACTTTATCTTGTCTACCCATCATGTTTTCTTCATAAAGTACAAGAATGCTTTAAGATTGCCTTCTCCCACATAGTATGTAATAATGACTTTGCCATTGTCACTAAAGTGATTATGTGCCTCCAGTATCTTCCTATATCACTGTTGCCCAATATATGCTTTAACTGGGCAGCTGGAATGACCTGCTGGGAATACTTAGCCCTGGTGTACACTCCTGGCATTCTTTGCTTATCCTCCCAAGAAACAACCCCCACCATGATGAGGTACCATAGCAGGATTTGAACTGCCAATTTATATTACTAGCAGTATTTCAACTGCAGTTGTAGTTGATAGTATAGGTAGGCTTCGGGTTATGACAACAGTTGGGACTGGGATTGCCATTGCTAAGCAATGCGGTCATAAAGTGTGACATCACATGACTATATTGCTTAGCAATGGCAATCCAGGCAGTCCCAGTTGCCACTGTAACCCCAATATGCACAGGTTGTTAGGCAGGAAGCGGTGGGAGTCTCAGGAAGGAATGTGAGAGTGCCGCGGGGGAGTGAGGGAGGCCCTAGGAGGCCCGGCACAGGCTTCATGTGAGTTGGGGCAGAAGGGTGCTACAGTGCAGCACAAGCACAGGAAAGCTAAGGGAAGGAGGGTGTGGGTCTGTGCGAGGGCAGGGAAGCTGAAGGAAGAAGGGTGTTGGTTGGTGCAAGCTCAGGGAGGCCGAGGGAAGAAGGACGCGGGTCCGTGGGTAGGCATCTCTTTCTCTTTGAGGACATGTTGGTATGGGGTAGATAAGTGAAAATAAGAACAGAGAAAAACTGCTAACATTATAAATGTGAGGAGTGGTCACTAAGTTGTTTTAGCAGTGTCGAAACTTTGAACAGTCATTAAATGAGGCAGTTGCTAAGTGAGGATGGCCTATATTGCTGGCCTGTTTTCTATATTAGGACTAGTATCCATAGAGCTTGATATATAAACAGAACTAATTTCAAGTGTGTGTGAATGTGAGAGGAATTGAGGTGGTTTATTCCCAAAGCATGCTTGCAGGGTTTCATCATGTATGGCTCCAGAGTATTCCCTGACTCTCAAATACTGTTTTGCAATGTGTGGAAGATGCTGCAATGGGAAAGATTGCTCTGAAAAACTCAGGAGTACTCGCAGAATATTCCACATTACCATTCTTCATGTAATAAAACTCTCCTAATGCAGAAAGGGTGGTTTGATTTAGATTTATCCACTGTGTTTTCCAAGAGATTTACAAAATGATAATAGTGGGCTAGGAGGGATATCCACAAAATCTCCTGCAGATCAAAGATGGCAAACGTGGATTTGGAATGTTGGACTACAATTCTTCTCTTTCTTGTTAATTGCTTATATTGGCTGGATTTGAGGAGACAGAATCTAACAACCCCTGGTAAATTACAGATTCCACACCCTTGTTGTTTCTGAACAGAGGCGTATCTGAGGTTTTAAAAACATGTGATGGGCATCCTCACAAAATGGCTGCCATGGAAGACTTGTTTATTCATAATATAACTGCCATAGTGAGTATTTAGCAAACTCAAAACTCTCATTTATCACAGTACAGACTAGCCCCTTTGATACTCCCTAATGAGAACTTTGTGGACCCAAAAGTATTCCTCCAAATAAATATGATATTAGAGGTTGGTATCTTGGATTAAATATACTATCTTCATTTTTATTTTTAATTAAAATAATAAAAGACAGGTGAGACAGGTTTTTTAACAGATCATTATCAAATTTTAAATTCAACTTAAATGACAATATATACAGTATATTCTAATTACTGATGTCAACTGTTTACAAACAGATAACTGTTAGAAGTAATTTGCTGGATTTTGGTGCATAGACTCTTCTAAAGTCTAAGACATTGATCTATAAATTGCATATGTATTTATTTGAATATTTATTTTATTTGTACATCTTCAGTTTAGGTTACAATTGATCACGTGTGCATACACTTTTAAGCATAATGGAATGTGAGATTCTGACCAACTCAGACATAGCTCAGACCTGTTTTCCTTATTTTGTGTTAGAGTCTATAATTATCCCATATTGCTGTAGATCTACATTGGAGCAATCATCCCACTAGGAGCAGCAGAGAAAGATGGTAGACTCCGTGCATCTGATGAGCTTGTATGCATTGATGGAATCCCAGTGAAAGGGAAATCACATAAGCAAGTTCTGGATTTAATGACAAGTGCTGCACGAAATGGACAGGTGCTGCTGACTGTTCGCAGGAAAATCTACTTTGGTGGTATGTGCCACGTCTTATTAATTAAGCCTATACTGTTGTACTTGGTACTGCTTTGTATCATGGCAGGGATTAATCCAAACATATAGTTCCATATCCCTCACTACTTTTGTCTATTCTTGTGACTAGCAACATTACATGAGTTTAATGAAAACAAAATGAGATGTGAAAAAGAAAAATGATAATACCACCTAGTAGCACTATGCAAAGCTTTCAAAAGAGAAGTTTTGTGATACTGTGGAGTTTGAAGTATGTGCATTATTACTTATTCCTGGTGTTCATGTTTAGGATTTGGGACATAAACCTGTTCTGTATGGGTTTGCAGGTCCCGTTAAGGATCAAGGTTGAAATCTTGAGGTCCTCCTGGATTTAGTGTTGATGCTAGATAGCTTTATAATATCTATGGCAGGGAGAGTTTTTATCTGTTTTATCTACCTGGAGGAGAGAAGCTTGACTCGAATGACTCAGGTTTAAGTCCCTTGAAGACTACTGTAATAAGATCTTCATGTGATTGCTCTTAAAGACAGTCTGGAAGTTTAAGCTGGCCCAGGATTCACCAGAAAAGTGAGGAGTAGGGTCTCTCCAAGATACACTGGTTGCCTGCCAAGCCAAGCATAATCTGACACAACCTGAGGAAAAAGTACAAAAGGAAAGTGCTTTGATATACAGGTAGTCCTCGGTTAACAGCAATTGGGACCAGAATTTCCATTGCTAAACAACATGGTTGTAAAGCACAACATCATGTGACCACATCGCTAAGCAATGGCATTTCCGGTTGCTATTGTTAAGCAAATCCCGCAACATCATTAAGTGCAATGTCATGTCATTATTTGCGACCTCCTGCCAGCTTCCCCATTGACTTTGCTTGTCAGCAGCTGGCAGTGAAGATTGCAAATGGTGAACACATGACCACAGGATGCTCGATGTCATAATTGCAAACCGGTCATTGAGTGCCCAGATCCCAATCACATGACTGTGGGGATGCTGCAATAGCCAGAATTTCAAGGAAAGGTAAGTACTACCTGTTCAGCGCTGTCGTAAATTCAATGGTGGTATAATAAACTGTGTTACAGTTTATAATGGTAGAATTTATAGCTTAGTTTCGAGGGACTAGTAGGACTACCACTGCCATAATACCCATTCTACATTGTTAATATAATCCCCTTCAAGGTGTGCTTGAAACAGAAAATTGTTTTGAACCTGAAACAAACATATTCTGTTATGGAGGTTCTGCTGAACTATTCCAGTTTGCCATCATTCACCAGAAACAAAACCCAGAACATTTTTGTTCCTGGTTTTGGCCAAAACAAAATCTGCAGGTATCGCTGAATGCTTTTATGAGGCAAATAGGGTAAGCTTGGTCACATTGTCATCCTCTCCTTTCCTCACATAATACAGCTTATCCCATTCACCTGATCTTCCCAGTATCTTCATTTCTCTTCCTTCTTTGCTACTCCTCAGATGCTCATGTGCAAATTCAGGATTTCCCATAGGCCAGCCTGCCCACCTGTCAACTTAGCACCTTCTTTTCCCTCCCTCCCCTCCCTCCCCTCAGCTCCTGAAATCGCAGGTGTCCTTGGCTTTTTCACATTCTTCCCCTTCCCACCAAAACACTTTGCCCAGAACACTTTTACATTTCAATCTGTATCCAGAGCTAAATGGCACCATTTTTCTTCATGGGATAGTCCATGTATGAACCGTTTGGCACATCCTGATTTGATTTTAATTATTAATTCTGCTTTCTCTATGGTAATAGTTTTAATAGTATTTTTATAAACTGCCCTGAATTATTATAACAGAAGGGAAAATACATTTTCTAAAAAGCACATACCCCTGTTTATCCATATATAAAATTGATCACATTGAATTGAATATGAGTCAGCAAGCTCAAAATATTTCATAGAAGCAAACATACCTGTACTTAAATAGTTGGTTCAGGGCTGATAGAACTGGAGCTGTGGCTTCCTGGGCTGACTGGAGTTGGAATTACATTGCTACAATTGAGTGCCAGCTTGTATTTTAAAAAAGGTTTCCACTGTGGGATAAATTGTCAGCCACTGTACAGAATACTTAATCTGCAGGATCAAACTGTGTAATCTGTAAATGTGAGTCACTTCTTTCTTTATAGTTCATTATCCAGCAGTTGAGTTATTAAAAGGATCTATCTGCTCATTCCTTCTCTAATCCAAAAATTTAGAAGCTGTTAATACATTCCAGGGGTTTCTGATGGATACATAAGCAGTAAGGAAATGAAAAGCATTGGGCACTTACACTTGTGTTCTGTTTCTATGGGGGGAAAGTGCTCTGTTAAAATAAATAAAATTAAGTAATAAATAGAGCATTTTTTATAATTCATACTAATATATTATGTTTGTACAAGCATAATACAAGATTGCAGTCATGTGACTGCAGGGGTGCTGGGATTGCTGGAACTTCGAGGACCAGTCATAAGTACCACTTGTTCAGTTCCATTGTAACTTTGAATGGTCGCTGAATGAGTGGTCGTTAACTGAGAACTACCTGTAGCGGGATTTTGGCATGGCTGACTAATTGTCATTGTCCTCCAGTTCCTTCTAGGTGAGGAGAATAATGTGACCTAGGAGGAGATAGGGATAATTGTCAAATGCACTGTAACATACATTCCAACCAGTACTCCATAGGAAAAATAACCTAGTCCTCCAAGGGTTTAAAGGACAGAGTGTTAGTTTGCTATATCTACCATGCAAATATCCAGGCACATGCAACAGCAGATGCAAGTATTCTATGGATGTGGTAGGACTCAAATGTGAAATTTCCAATGAAAGAGTCTGAGGAAAAATGGAAGACTTTGTTATTATAAGGAGATTTATTGTATTTGCAACAAAATTGTTTACTTCCTTAGGGAGACAAATCATGATTTTTTTTTTAATAGAAACACTTTATGGATTTTTGGCTCTAGAGGTTTAATGAGTTTTCAGATTAATAACAGTAGTCTTCAAAATACCTGTTGGTAATCCTTACATTGAAAATGGGGTTAAAATGTATGCAGCAGTTTGGAAACGGCTATTTCTGTTGCTAAACTTGGCATAGCATATGTTTGTGAATTCCTTTTGAATAAAATTGAATATGTGTGTTGAGTGTTACACCTCTGAAATTAGTCTATATTTTGAGTGCTTTGCACATGCCAGATTAATGTCAGTAATATATGTTTGCGTTGATAAACGTTTTTGCTGATTCATTTCTGTTTATGGTATTTCTAGCTGATAAACAACCAGAAGAAGAAATAACATCTGAAGTTCCTTTCATCTCCCAGAGTGGCTCCCCTAGACTCAACCGAGAAGAGATAATCAGCAAACGATTCCCAGAAGCCTATGATGTAGTGCTGCAACGGAAGGAGAATGAAGGATTTGGCTTTGTGATCCTTACCTCAAAGAATAAACCACCACGTGGTGGTAAGTATAATGAAATGTTAGCTTTGCTCATTATAGTAGTTCAGTTAGAGTTGTTTGTTTTCACTCTGCAAACTTTTGAACAAATCCAGGTTTATCCAGATTTTTAAAACTGCTTTCTTTCACAAACTTACATTTTTTTCTTATCTGAAAACTTCATTCAGTTTTATTCTTTTAAAGCATAGCCATCCTCAATATCTGAAATGCTGCTTCTTTCTCAGGCACAATAATGAATGTGTTTTGTATAGTAGTGGTGTCAGGTTGGGGGGACAGGGAGAGGATAATAGTGTCCTAAGGTGTCTGTTACCATGTTTTGGCAGCATCTAAAACTGGCTATTGCAACATGCTTTGTTTGAGGCTGTCTTTGAAGTTAACTGCATTCACATATAATGTTAAATGAGACTTACTGAGAATTCTGTCTTGTTGTTTATAAGTAGCATGCCTAGGCACATAGGCTGATTGCTCTCCTAGTCTCCTCCACCTTTTATATATGGCTAAACTAAATAGGAACTAACAAGGAAAGATTCCTATTAAATTTGATCCTAGCTCTGGCCTGTTACTCAAATGGGAAACCAACTATAGATGCTGGCTTTATATTCTGGTTGATTAAGGGAATAAAGGGTAACTTTGGCTATTTTTATGTGATCTTAAAACCTTGTATAGCTAGATAGAATATAAATCATTGGGGTATTTTCAGAGAATAGAAGTATATTTACACAGTAAGGCTTTCCTGGCTCCTTTACCCCTGAACATCAAAGGTTCCAATAGGATAGACCACTGAGGAACTCCAGCATAATGGGTAAATCAGAATACTTTGGCAAGGCTGTATTTATGCAAGCTAAGTGTCTTCCTGCTTTGGCAGGATGCCTTTAGTTACATACCATTGCATAAATGGAAAATACTTTATCTCCCCCCCCCCCAAATATTACTTGTGGTTTAGAAACTGTCATACTATTGAAATACTTCCTTAAAAAAAAGTTGTATAGCATTTAACCCATTTCTTGTTTCAGGAAACTTAGCCATGTTGGAGGCTCCACAAACCATTTTATGTTTGAATCCTTTACTTGGCATATACAGTAATAGAGCTATCATTAAATTTACTGAAGCATTGGGTATTTCTGACTACAGTTCTACAGAATGTAGCTGTTTTTTTATTTTTCAGAAAAAGTTTCTTTGAAAAGCAAAAGAGCTAGCTAGACTGACATTTTCTGGTCACTCATCAGTCCACTTCCTTTTTTTTTTTTCCTGATAACCTTATTGTTCCAAAACAATTAAAATAATTGTTCATTTCATGTTCAGTAAGAATATATTTGAATGGAGTCTCAGCTTCTGTTCTTCTAGGCATCTCATAATTAGATTTTTCCCATTGTATGAAAAAAGCATCTTTTGGGATCATATTAGGGTAGGTTCTATGGTATGTTTGACAGATTATTGGTTTTGTTAGATCTGCTTTTAAAATTGGAAAAAAATATAGATTCCATTTGTTATATTTATTTAAGCTCATAAAGTTTTATTAATTTACTTTTTATAAAATGCTGTTAGGGAGCAGTCTTCTGAACCTTTTTGGTGATAAATGCATCTTGTATCCTACCTTAAAAATACTAATTTCAGTTATCAAGCTGCCTAGTATGAGTAAACATGAAATGGAAAATTAGTTGTTTTAGAAGTTTGTCTGGACCATTCCACATGAGCTGGACCACATTGGCAGAATCAAAAAACAGTTTTATTCATTCATTCATTCATTCATTCAATCAGTCAATCAATTTATATAGCTGTCCATCTCACATATGTGGCTCTAGGCGGCTCACACAATTTATTCCATGTTTCAGATGAAAAAAAAATAACTGGAAGGGTCTTACAGGATAATTAGGGTTACATCAGCCTTGCCTCTTTCCAACGTCGTCTGTGCTTTCCTTTCCTCATACCACTCCGTGGGTTACCACTGTCAGTGTCCTTTGCTTTAAGCACAGCATATCCAACCAACTCACCGATCCCTCCTCCAATCTTTTTAACATTTTGCTTTCATTGTCTGTCCTTATCCACTCCACCAATGTCTTCTGATACATTAATAGTATTTGTAAAAACAGCTCTCATGAAGTATTGGTTAACGCTTGCTATCTTGGGAATGAAATCACAGCAGGACCTATCCACAAGTATAGTATCTTCTATGCAGAGTCGTAAAGGGAGATGAGCAGCTGCAAGGATTCATGCAGAATTAAGCCTTTCTTTACTATAGACCTCCAAGGTTTTGTAAATAGAGATGTTGGGAAAATAAACAGATTTAATACATTTCACCCCAGAATGTTAAGTTACAAGGTTTGGTGGCAAGAGCAACCTTTGAACTTCTAGCTGATATATTTTAAAATTACTGGATATCTGATATGATTCTCCAGGACTGGAGAATAACAGTTTAGTGCTTCTTAAAAACCCAGATAAATGTTCCTCAGACAGCTTGGCATACCTATTAGACTGAGATAGTGCACTCTTCATCCAGTATTTAACCATTTTTCTTCAATAGTAGATATTTGTAATTATGCCAGATTTGTGTGTATTGGCCCATTACACTGTAATAATGCATGGGAAGAATGACTTATGTACATATTCTTTGTCTTTAAATAGATAGCCATTAATTGTGTTAGGACTGAATTGTTTTATTCTTTAAAGAAGGGCATTAATGGTGGTAGATTCATAACAAAGACTGATTGTTAATATGCAATATGCATAGCCTTGCTTAGAGGTGTGGATTCTATATGAACAAGGATTTGAAGAGGGTTGATGTAATTACACTGAAATAAAATGAAAACTTTGACACTTAAAGTGCTACTAGACTACTTAGCAACTTTTCAAGTAGCATCTAACATTATGCAAGTCTGTCAAGTCTACAGCCAAAGTTATTTTTGTTAATTTTAATTATGTGTTAAATGCAGACATTAACACTTGAAATGATCTTGGAAGTAGACTGAAAGTTAGTGAAAGCTATTCAGAATGGTAATGATCAAGAGGCTACCTCAGTTAAAGGTAGTTGCTAAAGAATATTACAGAAATCCATATATGAATTTATCAAAGTATAAACTTTAGAAGCCCCATCATTATGTTACAGGATTTCTGAAAGAATTCTATCACCGAAGTAATCAGAATGCACACTTGGCTGAAAACATCTCCTAGGATCACTTTTTTGCTTAGCTATTAATTGTTCAGCATCTTATCTTAAAATTGCTCTTATTTTTCTATTATCTCCATGAAGACATTAATCTTATAAGACTAGTGTTGGTATTCAGAAGCTCTAATAACTTTTTTTTCATTATTAGTCTTTTTATTTAAATATTCAAATATGTTGGAGCTTTTCCTATGGGGGGGCATGTATTGCAACATTCTCCTGAACTTTTTCTCAGAGCTTCTGCATATCTGCAATACAGATTGGATTGGATTTAATATTCCTCTTTGTCCCAAGGAAATCCTAGGATTTTTATTACTATGGGATGGAGCTAAAAATCTTTTACAGTAGTCTCAGCACTTTTACAAAACCATCATTCTTGAAGTCTTTGAGAAATAGTTTAACCTGTATAAAACCAAAATAATTTTTAAATACAGTTAAATCAGACTATAAATATTAATATCAGGTTATGGATCTGGTGACATTCCTGTGTGATAGAGAATATTACTTTTTTCATTTCCTAGTGATTCCTCATAAGATTGGACGTGTTATTGATGGGAGTCCAGCTGATCATTGTGGAAAACTGAAAGTAGGAGATAGAATTTCTGCAGTGAATGGACAGTCAATCATAGACTTGTCACATGAAAATATTGTGCAGCTGATCAAAGATGCAGGGAATGCTGTCACACTCACTGTTATTGCTGAAGAAGGTAAGGAATAGTCATTGTTATGTTGCTGTTCACTGAAGTTGCATCTGTTTATATCTGCCACATGGTGGCAGTCTGGATCTCTGAGTATCTTTCAATAGTATTAGTTGTGAAATCATTTTTGTGTATGTTAGCTACATTGAGGTTTAAGGGTACTGAACTCCAGTGGCTCATTCCTATCTGGACAGTCAGTTGTAGAACATGGTATTTAAGGGAATTCTAATTGGCCCTTTGGTATTTATGGAATCCTACACAATTCTGTATCATTCCCCCATGCCATTGAAGATGTATAAGAAACTATTGAGTGATTTGAAAATTTAGAGCAAAACAGTAAAAGCTCTGTTTCTATTGCTAGTTCATCAGGTGGGATGTAGATATGTCGGATAATAGTCTGAGACCATTAATAAATTAGATGAGGGCCAGTAAACTGCAATTCACTATCATTTCTCAGTAAATTCATTTGAACAGTGAAGTGTTCATTCTCTTGCGCTAATTATTCATCTTTAGTTTAGGCCCGTGTTTCTCAACCTTGGCAACTTTAAGATGTGTGGACTTCACAGTTTGAAACCCATTACTTAAAGAGTTTTATTTTATCACATAAATGCTCCCAAGCCTTTTTTATTGTTGTTCATTGCAGATCCTCTGCTAAGTTCTACCATTGTCATGAAGTTACAACAGAGATGATTATAGAGAGCTCTTTGTTTTTTGTGACATTTTATATTTGGAATGTAAAGAATCTGTCATCAGAAATACTTGCCTTTGCTTCAGAAAGACAAGTATTCATGATTGTGGAACTAAACCATGCAATTCTCTCTTCTGCCATTCTTCAACCACCTTAGCCCGAATAAATATCCACTTTTCTCCTTCAGAAGCTACTTTTAGTCAGAGAGCACTGTTAGATATAAATAGTAGCTTCAAGGAGAATGCTATGCCTTTCATTTCTCCCAGCCTCAGGTTGTAGGCATTTGGTAAGAGGGGATCTGCCACTGCCACATTTTCCTTCTTGATGTGTTTCTTTCAGCATTCTAGGCTGACAGAAAATATTGTTTAACAAAGCATTTTGAGTATTAAAATGACAATTTTTATAAATCCAGAAGCCTCCTACAAGATTGTTCCCTTCACACATAATTCAGTATAAATATGTAAAAACTATTCACTTGAAGAGAAGCTGTTTTCAAATTCAGTGTATTAGAGTGCTTTTCAAAACTGCTGCCTGGTTGTGTAATAAATGATTATTTTGCCAGGAGGGTGGTTTCTACCATTGTGAATAATAATTATGCCAAAAATTCATTTTTCCAATATCATATTTAACATATATTTTAACATGTTGCATCCTACGATATAGAATATTAAATTATTTATTTGCTACTTGGTGAAGCTTAGAAGCTTTTTATACCAGTCATTTAAGGATTTTAACTTTCTAACCTCCTTATTTATATTTTAAACTGAAAGAAATTGCTAGAGTAAAAAAAATATGAAATGTGAATATTCTGGTTGATTTTGCCCCTGGGTTTGAATTACTGCCAGTTCAAATAATTTCATTTCCTATTAGTACCGATTTGCAGAAGCTTAGAAGTTTACTCAAATGTCTATTTTCTGAAATACCACCAAGTGAAAGGCAAAATGCAGACCACATTGTGGGGAAAAAAACTGATTACAAAATAGAAACTGATTAAATAGGTGTGTTTTGATTCAGATAATGGCTTTCTGTGAGTTGCCCTATTTACCTGGTAGGAAAATAAGTCCCCCCCCCCCCGAAATTACCAGTAAATTGAGAGAACCTTATTTACATTGGCTGAGAAGGCAGAAGAAACTGTTTAAACAAAGTGAATGGATAAGAAGTGATGACTATAGAAATCTCTGCTGGTCGGATGCCTTTAAAAATTAACTTCAGAAGTAGGCATTGCTTGGAAGAGGTCATTTGCCAAATAAATATGAGACCTTTTTGTAATGCCTATCTCCCTCCCTCCCTCCCTCCCTCCCTCCGTCCGTCCGTCAGTCAGTCAGTCAGTCAGTCAGTCTTGGCTCCTGGTGACTGCCTGGACTAGTCCCTGCAGTTTTCTTGGCAGCATTTTCCAAAGTGGTTTGCCATTGCCTTCTTCCTAGGGCTGAGAAAGAGTGAATTGCCCAAAGTCACCCAGCTGGCTTTGTGCCTAAGGCAGAACTAGAATTTGCAGCCTTCTGGTTTCTAGTCTGTTGCCTTAACCACTACACCAAACTGGCTCTCATTGCCATTCAATGTTGTTCTCCCATTTCTTTTTTTCTCCACTTTCCAATGCAGGAACATATTCCATATACCATATATCCATCTTATTTATGTGCTTCTTTGCTGCTTCTGCTGGAAGGAGTTAGGAGAATATATGTGTACAGCTGCATGTAAGAGTGGATAGTTTGTATAGGGAGCTTGATGGGCCCCCTTATTTTATAGGCAGCTATTTTTGATATGTACATACATACATCTTTATTTATTTGCTGAGCTTATATGCCACTCTAATCAAAAATTAATTCTGAATAACATAAAAATAATGCACATATTATACACACACACACTCCAGACGCTGCTATCAACCAGATCTCTACAACACTCCCACCTGCAGGAGGAATCAAAGACAGCATCTCAGAGACCAAAAGCACACCAGAAACCCCAGATTTCAATAGCTTTCTGAAAATTGAGAGGGGTAGGGGCCCTCCAGGGGAATGCTTTTCCATATGGGGGGGGCTGCAACGGAGAGGGCCTACTCTGCAATCCCTGCAGATGACATTCACTCAGGGGAGGAACCTGGAAGGAACCACTGAGCTATGAAGGAATTTACAGGTGCCAACCAGCATCATCAACTGTGCCAGGAAGCAAACTATGGAGGGGGAGTTTCCAGGATTGGTTTCATTTGGAGTTGGCAATCTTCGATCGATTAGGCAGGGAAATGGCATTGTGCAAGTTTTTTGTCTGTTTTTATAATTTTTTCCTGGGGGAGGAATAGTTCGAATTCAAGGACATCTTTCTTTTGAATAAATATGGTATATATTTTAATGGTTTATAGTTTTTGCTACTTCATATTCAGCAATTATTTTTAACAAAGAGGTGAAGTGCAATTGCAGTATGGATGAACAGCACATAACAGCACAGTAAAATAACAACAACAACAACAACAATAATAATAATAATAAATTAAGCTGAACCAGACATAACTTTTATATCATAACTTTTTTCTACTGTGTTCTTGATATTGTGTCTGTTAAATTAGAAATGAAAATCTATAAAATACTTCCTCATTCAGAGTTTAAATTTTGAATTTTAACAGTCTCTTTAATGTAAAGGAAAAGCAAATTATGCTTCATACTTCAGTAAGCATTTCTGCTAACATTTTGTATAAAATAAAAGCTTCTCAGCCCCAGTCTTGTCAAGGATAAAAAGGAAGAGAAAGGAAGATGTATGGTAGAGAAAGAAATGCAATGGACACATAGCTTTTTCTTATCTGTCTTTAGTAATTGAAGCTCTGGATTTAAACCAGAAGAAAATATTGACATTTTCTAGCAGAAACAAAGTTTTTCTAGAGATGCCATACTATTAGTTCTGCACTGAATTCTATAGAGCTTTATGTGGCTGGGAAATTGAATCTAATCTAATAATCTGCATTGAGAAATAGTAATATGTATGGTCCAAAGCTTGTAAATATGAATGAATTTATATATTAGAAAAGCATTAACTCTGTTTTCCTAGTAACACCAGAAGAAAATCTGCAAGCTCTTTTACTTCTTTCAAAATTTATTACTCAGCTCTGAATTTTTCATTAAGCATGCCCTTAAAGACTTTTGACTGGAGAGGGATCTTTTTGTTACATCATGCTTTGTTGTTCTCTGAATAGCAGAAGCAGTTTATATTTTAGAAATGTTTGCTTTATAAGAATGGTTGTATTTATTGTAAGCAACTAATCAATATGTATTGTGTTTGGGTCAGAGGCATTAGTGAATACTTTTTCAAAGAATTCTGGTAATTGAACTACTACACTTTGATGCTCTTAATAGTCTTCCTAAAACTCTGCTTAATAGGGTCCAGGGGAGGTATGGAGAACTGAAGACGGCTCTGCAAAAGCGGAGCCGACGACCGCAGCAAATACCAAGGAACCGGTGAGTAGACCGGTTCCTTGAACCTCTCTGGATAAGGAGAGGATGGGAGATTGCCCACATGTGTTCTGGACAGCTGCTCCTCACAAGGAGACTGCAGGACAGCAGTTTTCTGCGGGATTGAGTACTGGGAGACAGCGGGATTAGTCATCTTGCTCACAACTGCTGCAGAGACTTTTAAAGGACACTAAGTTTGCAAACCTCACTTTCTAATCACTTTCAGAAATTACTTATTAACTACTTCTAAGCTATTAACCTTCGGAATGACAAGTTTGAAAATGCTGGGTGAGTCTGCCTTCAATCCTGAATGAAAGAAAAGCTGAATCATAAGCTTAAGAATTTAAAGAATTTGAAATAAACAGCAAAAAGCTAAATAAGATTTT